AAAAAATGTATTCCATCAAAACAGAAACACAAGAATGATTAATAATGTGACTAATCCAGTTTTTAGTGCAGGTCTCTGCTCTGGCTTCCCATCTCTAAAAGAACAGGCAGTAAAATAAGTCTCTCCGTGGTCTAAAGTCCATCTCCAGACCTCCTGGACTCTGAAAAGCTCAGGTTCTGTTCTCATGCTGGGGCCCAGAGTCAGAACCAAACCAAGAGAGGCTGAGTTTCAGTTTTCCGCTCCTAAAATCTGGGTCAGTCTTCCTAAAGGTCGGACAGACTTGAACTCCGACTGCTAAAATCCAGACTAAAAACGGGTCTATTTCGCTGTGCGTTTGACAACTTAATGCATTTTATCTGCACTCTTCACTTCACATCTATTCAATAAATATCTTTATCTATCTATCTATCTATCTATCTATCTATCTATCTATCTATCTATCTATCCATCTATCCATCTATCCATCTATCCATCTATCCATCTATCCATCTATCCATCCATCCATCCATCCATCCATCCATCCATCCATCCATCCATCCATCCATCCATCCATCGTAACGTTATTCAGAATCAGAAATACTTTAATAATCCCAGGGGGAAATTATCTTTACTTATTTATTAAATTATTCAGTGTTTAATGATGATTTCTAGAGAGAACCTAAAATATTAGCATAGCGTTACTTCAGATTTCCAGCCTTTCACCTGGTTTGTTGGCGGTGGAGCAGACGAAGTCAGCTTTCAGGGGCAGACGCAGCTCCTGGAGGCAGACGGAGCCCTTGGAGGCGGCCATGTTGGGTATCTCTGGGGCTGCCGGGGCCTTTTTCTGCCCGGCCGGATCCACTTTGAGACGGTCCAGCTCGGCCTTCAGGGCCTCCCTCTTTTTGGCTAAACAAACAAACATTAGCAGAGAACAAACTCAAATTCTGGTCGAAACCTCCCACATCTGGAGGTTCATTTGGAGTAGGGCTGCAACGATTCGTCGACGTTGTCGACAAAAATCGATAATAGAAAAAGTCGACAATGAATTCCATTGTCGACTATTGTCGCCAGACGTGTTTTTCCAACAGAGTGAGACATCTCACTTAATTACAATCTGCCCAGAGTCACCTGCACAACAGCGTCGCGGTTACAGAAATGGCGGCGTCCAACACGCGTACAAAAACTTCCAAAGTTTGGGAGCATTTTATCCTTGATACAACGAGTAAAACAATTACGTGCAAGGTTTGCAAAACAGACCTTGCGTATCACGGCAGCACCTCGGTGATGCATGAGCATTTAAAAAGAAAGCATGTTGGGCACTTAAATGAAACGGAGTCTGACTCGCCTCGGTAAGATTTAAGCAACAATCATGCTAATATGTTTTGTCTTTTATGTACGTTATACATTTTCTAAGCGTTTTTTCACTTTAAAAGAGAGCTTTAACGTTATGCCTGACAAACGCATTCTTATTTACGTTTTGTATCAGCTGCAAAGTTGAATAAAAGATGCATTTTTCATTGAAGTACCCATTTTTCTTGCGTTTATCATTTTCCACTTAACTAAAGCAACTTTATGCTATTTTTAAGAAAAAGTGAATAACTATTCGATTAATCGACTAATCGTTTCAATAGTCGGTGACTAGTCGACTATTAAAATAGTTGTTAGTTGCAGCCCTCATTTGGAGGCTGGAAGGGACTCACTTGCCACCAGCAGCAGCCTCTCGGCCTCGGCCTCCACCTGGGAGCCTTTTCCGTGCTCCTCGTCCGTGCAGCAGTTCAGGGCCTGGCTGGCCTGGTGGATGACCGTCTGCTGCAGGTTCAACTCATTGGTCAGGATCTGGACACACATGAAACACGTGGAGAGGAGATGTGAGCCAAGCTTTAGAAGATCCCTAAACACTGGTAATGTAAACTTGTCAGTGGTCATTTTTAAATGAAAAAATAAAGGAAATTCAGATTTATCTGGATTCTTAAAAACAGGTCAAAGTTTAAGTGCTCTCCCAAAATAATGTAAAGATTGAATCGATCAGTTAATAATCCGAAAGGCCATGATGAAGAATTAGGGAAAATAAAATAAATACACATTATACAAGTATGAGAAGTACTAATATAAATGCATGTTATCAATTTAATCTCAAATAGGCACAACCAAATGCATCAGATTCATAAGTGATTCTAATCTTTACTATCTCTAAACACTATTAATCTATCATGAAGGAAAAGAAGATTGACCACTGATGCATCTAAAAGAGTCTGAATAGGGATTTTTCTTATTGTTAGGTTGATGCCAACTGTAATGTATCTGCAATAAAAGTAGCTTTGGATAAAAATGGCCGCTAAATAAATAAACTAACGGAAGGAGATGATTCTCTGGATTTCGCAGTAATAAAGGACCTCTGGAGCTACTAAACTGAAAATGATCCAGAGCTCCTGTTCTCTGTCCTTAACTAAAGTCTTAAGTGGGTAAAACAAGTTTTCCATATTGTAGTGTGATGTGAATTAATAATTAAATGCATCAGCTTCAAACCTTTATCTTCTGTTTTAGACTAAAGAGACTTGATCCTCGGGGCTCCTCCGGTCTCCCAGAAACATCTTCTTTTCTCACGATAACCTGCTTCACGTTTGGTTTCTCCGCATCTTTCACCCGCGTCGACCTGTAAGCGTCAATACTGAAACACAACAAAAAACAACAAACATTTAAATTAAGGGTTCAGTCTCAGCCTCGACCCCAACACAGAACAGAGTCCCTGTCTGTCTTCAAGAAACTCTTGAAGACCCACCTTTGAAAGAGCATCTCCTATCCTAACCCTAACCGGTACCTCTACCCCCCCACAGCTCCTATCCTAACCCTAACCCGTACCTCTACCCCCCACAGCTCCTATCCTAACCCTAACCCGTACCTCTACCCCCCACAGCTCCTATCCTAACCCTAACCCGTACCTCTACCCCCCACAGCTCCTATCCTAACCCTAACCCGTACCTCTACCCCCCACAGCTCCTATCCTAACCCCAACCCGTAC